GGGCGGGGCGGGCGCGGGGGTGATAAGACTGAGCGCTAACAACTCGTATGACTTGGCGACGCACAGCAGCGCCCGCTCGTTATAACGAGACTTTGCAACTCTCCGCGCAAGTTGGACGAGAGAGAAAGGGGAAGGGTGGCGGTGGTTGGTGGAGGAGGAGGGGGGCGAGGGGGGCGCAACGGCGACGCGACGTGAGACGGGGTTGATGACGTGCGCGCCTTAGGAGTGGCGGTGGATATTGGCGGCGGGGCGCGCGCGGAGCCGCTCCGGGCCGCGCCCCACATCCAGCAGCAGCACCCCTGCAGCGGCCCTGCCTCAGCCTGGCTTTTATGGGGACTGTTAAAGCGGCAGAACGGCGCGGAGGTATGTCCTTTTTATTCATCCCCATAGTAGTTCTGTTGTGTTTTTTGTTGCGTTTTTTTGCCCTCCCTTTTTTTTTTCGTTGTTTCAGCCCCAGCGGGCGGCGGCGCTGGCGCGACCCGTTTCGCGCACGCAGCGGGGCGGCGCGAACAGGACAGTAAAACAGCTGTACGGCGTCCCCGGGTGTGTCCCCGGGTGTCCTCCATCCGTATGGAAATGCGGTGCCAATCCGGGCCAAAGGGCGCTCGTCCCTGAAGGTCCGCGGCGCTATACGGGTCCGTCAGGCGGGGCGGGGCCCGGGCGAAGTGCTGCCATCGCCACTCACATCCCTCGCGGGAAGCCCCGCCCCGCCCCGCCCCGCCGCGCCCCGCCCCGCCCCGCCCCGCAGCGCTACCCGCGCAAACAATCAGCAGACGAGTGCGGCGCACGTTTCAGAATGTATGCGCAAACAAAGCAGTACATTACAGCGGCGGCCTGAATTTGTTGCCGCCTCCAGGGAGACTCACTGTGGATGTAGCGGCGTGCAGAGCTGCGGAGCGGGGCTTGTCTCCCAGGAGGAGGAGGAGGCTGGCGGCGGCGGGGGGAGGGGGTCCCACAGAGGCGCTGGGCCCCACGGGGGGCGGCCCGACATCGCCCGCAGATTAAAACTGGCCGAGGCGCGCGGCAAACACACAGCAGCGGCAACACAACCCCGACAACAACTCGACGCACTCCACACCTGAAAGCCATATTATCACACCGGCGGAGCGCGCCGCACAGCGCCGTCAGGCAGGAGGAACTGTGCGGCAAAAAAACACACAACGGGACGCGCATCTTCTCCACTCTGAGGGGAGCCCGCACGGCCGCACCAGGTGAGGGTGGCGGGGCGGGGCTGGCCCTTCACGGGCGAAAGAAAGTTGGCCCCACCGTACTTTGTCATTAAGGACCCCCTCCGGTGGCCCCTCCACTGAGTGGCGCGAACTTACAAGGGAATATCATTCGAGTTGCCACTTGGGAGGCAGAGGGGGCGCCTTGTCTTCTTTGACACGAAAAACGCCCGCCCGACAGACACCCTTTAGAGCCGGCACGGGGCGGGGCGGGGCAGGGCGCTGAGCGCGAGGTTTAATCGGGTGAGGAACAAAAGCGCGAGCAGGGGAGGCTGGCGCCCAGCCCTCGGCTCAAATAGACAACTCGTCATACCGGGCACCTCTGAACTGAGAACGCCACGTCCTGCTCCGCCTCCTCCGGGCGCCCCGCCCCGCCCCGCCCCGCCCCGCCCCACCCGGTGCGCGACGGTAAGTAATGTCCCCGAGGTGGGATCCATCAGCAGCACGATTTTTTTGCCCGTCCTGCCGCGCCGTCTCCCCCATTGTCAGCGACAACAGAGATTAAGTAAGAGAGAGGGGCGGCCACAATACGTGAGCGAGCTTGAAAAGCGGCGCCGCGGCCGTCCTCCCCGCGGACATGCAGCCGCCCATAGCCCCGGCCGCGGCCATAGGCCCCCGAGGCACGCAGAAAAAGGAAAGAAAAAGGAATGACAACGACGCAATCTTCTTTCCTGGAAAAATTCAAGATTCCTTTCCCGTGCACTATGAGACTCACCTGTCCCCGGGCCGCCGCCGGGCCATAGCCCGCCGAGGGCGGCGACCAGCAGCAGGCCCTGCAGCAGGCGGCTCGCCGCCACGCCCGCGGCGCCGGCCCGCGGCCCGCTCATGCTGACTCACGCCGACCGCATGGCTGGACAGGACACCGCCGCGCCGCCTGCAACACACACACACACCCAGCCACTGTAATGACGCTTCATTTGGTGCGTTTTGTTTCCGCGCCGCCGCCGCCGCCTGCCCCGCCGTCCGGGGACAGCCCCGCTCAAAGGGGCGCGAGCAGCGGCGGCCGCGTCGTCCAGAGGGAAAGTTTCACTCGGCGCCAACAGAACAGAAGGCACACAGTGCCGGGGCGGGGCCGGGCGCGCGCGCGCTCCGCGGGGCCGAGCCGAGGGAGTAATCCAGCCGAGTGAAAGGTCAAACTTGGAAAGAGTGGCGGCGGCAGCAGCAGCGCCACTGCAGGCGAAACAGAAGTTGGTACAGCCATCACAACACTAGAGGAGTCCTATGCCTGTGCTTGAACAGTTTTGACTCGCAAGGAGAGTCGGCCGATGCCGTTGAGCGAGCCGTTGAGAGATTTGACAAAAAATCGACTGGAATATTTTCTATTTTACGAAATCTCTGTTTCTTCTGAACCAAAATCCACAAGAGTTCACACAAACATTCGGAGTTATCAATTGAAAGTATTGACATACTCTATCATGTTACTGATATTTTGACCCTTTTGCCAGGATTCCTGCTGCTTCAAAACTTTAAGCTGCAGACATTTTTTCATCGGTAATCCAAGATAATTCATTTTTACATGCCTAACAATTTTTTTTGTTATTAGTAAGTTGCGTTCAAAAATAAAAACACAATAAGTAGCAAATTAGTCAGTAGTCCTGCTGCGTTGAAAACCTAAAATATCAGTACATGTCTAAGTAAATAAAGCAGAGAAAAATTTTAAGCTTATTTGGGTATTTAGATTTAAAATACAGGAATGGTGTGGCACCATTCACCACATTTACATTTTGTAAATTTCAAACAATAGTTAATGTTTAAACTCTTCGAGATCAGCAGCAAAACAAATCAGCCAATGCAGGCTCTCATAACGCCTGGTAGGTAGGCAAAACCACACCTGCAGTGCATGTGTGTACTGCAGCACAGCCTACCCTGAGTTTCGCAGGCGCCGAGCACCCGTAATTTGCATTTACCTAATAAATCTGAGGAGAAAGGACGAACTTTCTGGGCGATATATAATATATTATATGGCACGCTCGCCCGAAAACAGTAGCACGATGGACTTAAAATGAAAAAGTATTGAATTTTGTTTGTTGTTCTCAACAATTTGATCACACAACTGAAAAAAATACTTCTTGTTATTGACTTTACATAGCCTTCAAGCAGGCCATAAACATGCCTACCCAACCACCTCTTTATTTGTTATTGATGCAGAGATGAAAAGGTCCCCCTAATTAAGACGGCATTGATAACAATAATCGTTCTCCCAAACGGAGTAGTCGTGCCGTGCCCATGTCGAGTCTCCGAGAAGCCACTGAACTGTCTTCTTGTATCTATTATTGCTAAAAGATCGTCCTCGGGCTAAATCCATTTTGAACGGGCGAGCGTTAAACCACTATCCACCCTCCATATTGCCTTCGGCTTAAGGAAACAAAATTAACGCAACGGTATATAAAAGTCATTCGGCAAACGCAAAAACGACGTTGATGGAACGTAGGTTGGGTTGGGAGCTAGCCCGCTCTCTCGCTCTCTATCTCTCGCAGCTCGGCGGGATATTTTCTTTTCCCAACTGAAGGCGAGCGCGTACGATTTTCCAGAGGCCTGCGCCGCGCGGCGGGCCGCGCACCGCTGGAAGTCAAAACACGCATGCGGGTGACAGGCGTGCGGGGCGGAGCGGGGAGCGGCGCAGGGCGTGGGACGGAGCCTGGCTCTCTGGATGGCATCCGAGGTCCGAGAGGGAAAGATAGAATAATGAAAGCAGGCCCTGAAGCGGCTGTGAGATGATTTCTCTTCCCGGCGTTGACAAGCGACACTCCATGGCACCGAGCGGGGTGGGGTTGGGAGGGGAGAGGGTGGCCGACAATACCCCACGGCTCAAGATTTGTCTTGCTCTCTCGGAATCCTTGCCGTTGGCGCCGCCCCGTGAGGCACCCATCGAAATGCCGAAAATGACACAATGGACGACGCCACCTGCCAAGAGAAAACAAGCAAGAGCTGGACGCCACCCCAGGGGAAACTCTTCCAACATCACCAGCACCAGGACTGTCCCATCCCCTGTCGGAATGCAAGAAAAGCGTCTTGCTCCGAAGCTGACAACAAAACAAGCGCTCCTCTCGGGCGCCACCGCGGTGTCAGTCGTTGGCGGCGTCGTACACTGCGACTACTATTACGCCGAGTAGAGCAGCAAGAACGCCCCGCCCCGCCCCGCCAACACGCCCCCGGGCCCAACCGATTCCCTGCGGAACCATCACACCGCGCCGCGCTCGCCCGCGCTCCTCTCCTTTTCCTGCCTTCTTATCAAGGACAAAATATGATGCCGCCAGGAGGAAACAAATGACCTGGCACGCCGGCCGCTTTGTCAGCGCCACCTCCTCCGGCGTGCATCACCTTCACCTCCCCGGCGCGACACTTACAGCGCGCTGCGGGTGACGTATCCGGCGGAGGGTATCCAATAGCCCGGCGCGCACAGCTGGCCCTGCACAACACACACACCCGCACACACGGAGCGCACGCGGCCCTGCACGCACACGCACGCACGCACACACACACGCACGTACACGAGTCGACACTCGTCAGTCGGCGTGGGTTCCCGCTCTAACACGCGCGCGCACCGCTCCCTCTCCGTCCGCGCTCCGCCACACCAGCTCGCCGACTGAAGGGGAGGGGCTCCAGCGCGGCTCCACGCGGTGCGGCGGGGCGGGGTGCGGCGGGGCGGGGCGCGGCGCGGGGGAGGAGTGGGGTAGGTCCTGTCCGGCCGGCAGCAAAGGGGGCGCGCCCGCGCCTCGGACATCTCGGGGGCCTGTCCACCACGTCGCCGACGCACGGCGGCCGGCGGTGAACGGAGTCCTCACGAAACGATCCCTCAGTCCCGGTTCTGCTTAGTCGCGGCCCTCTGCACAGTGCACCGCCCCACCCGCCCGGGCCCTGCTGCTGGGCGAGCCCTGGACGCAGCGGTCTCGCGGGTGATTTACAGGCAGCGGGAGAGCAGGGAGGACATTCATGAATTCCCGCGCCAACGGCCGGCCCGGGGGCCCAGCACAGCCCAGCCCAGCCCAGCCCGGGGGCCGTGCATGTGAGGGATTGCTGCACCCGCCACCTGGGGACGCTTGTCGCCCATCAGCCGCCGATGAATATTTATCAGGGCGGCGCCGCCAGGCCTCTCGCATCCTCTCCCCGACCTAGACCCGCTGACCAGGCCGGGCGGGGCGCGGTGCGCGCGTCCCTTAGGGAGGCCTCGCCCGCCCCGCCCCGCCGCGCCCAGCCAGCCTAGCCGCTGATGCCCGCCATCCGGTGCCCGTCCCTCAGCGATAGGGCCCGTAGGGAGAGGGGAGAGGAGGGGCTAGAGAAGTTTTCAGAGTGTCGGTGTCCGCCGAGTGCCGTGCCGCGCTCCACCCCGCCTCTCGTCCAGCCACGCTTTTTGCCGAACTACCAGCGGGAGTCATTGTCCGGTACGTTTGCGGCCGCGACGCCAGAACTACTGTACTCGCGTTAAATTCATCAACGTCCATAGAACAGAACCTCCTACCGCCTCATTTTTATTTTCATTTCTGGCCGAACCCGCTGCTCCGAGCCACTCTATATGCACGTTGCGGCGGGGCGAGGAAATATAAGGAGGCAGCGGAATGACAGTCGTGACTCTGCACCACTTCTACGGAAAATATTTTCATTGCAGCCAGGAATTTCACGGTTTTTTCTTTGTGTGTGTTTTTTTCCCTCCCTTTTCGTTGCCTCCTCATCTCTTGCTGCTACTGCTCCTCGTCTCTCTTTTTAAACGAGAAAGACGTGCTGGAGTAACTCTCGGAGGGGGGACTTTATTGAACCTGACGACGGAGTGATTCATGGAGCCATGAGGCTACGCTGCAAGGGAGGAGGGGAGCGCGGTATAGAACGGCGATATCCACCCGCACGGCTGCAAACCTCTTTTTGCAAAGCGAATTGCGATGTGATGTTTGCGCTGAGCCGGTCGATGCCACGGCGACCCTCGCGGCGAGGTCCTCGTGGGCTCATGGTGGAGAGAGCGAGAGACGGGCAGAGAGCGCGCGGTGGAGTGGAGTATATAGAGAGAGAGCGAGAGAGGCGGATGCATTTATTCATGGCCGTGCACAGAGCCGCCACGCCCCGCCACGCCCGCTGCAGCTTCAAGAGCAGGGTGGGGCCGGGGCCGCCCGCCGGCAGCGGCCAGCGCCGGCTGCGCTGCCTCCTCCACCGCGGACTGGCTTCACTTTCCAATCTCGACGCATTTCCAGATTGCCGTCGGACAACAGAATCACTGCTCGGCTCCGGCTCGTGTTGCTCTCGCGGCCGACGCCAGGGGCCTGGCTGGGCGTCCTGCGCTCTGGGGTCTCAAAATGTGGGCAGCCGGAGGGACGAGACGAGCAGGATGGTGAAGAAAATAAGGGGGCCAGAGGCCTCACTGCGCCGCGTCTTCTCCCCGAGCGCGCCGCACCCCGCCACGCCACGCCGCGCAGCGCCCTCCTCCCCTTCTTGTCTCTCTTCTTGCCGTCAATCCGCCCCTAACCCCCCGGTGTCCCGTCTGACCCGCCCGCCTCCACTGCGGGGAAAAGGGGGCGTACGGCCCAAGGGCGAGGCAGGAAATTCCACAACGCTAAAAGCGAAACGAGCTTTTGAAAAAAAGAAATAGACGCGCGAATTTCTAAAGCGTAGAGTGTGTTTTTCGAGGTGATTTGCCGAGAGGCCGGCGGCTCACCCCGGCGCTCCCACGCCCGCCCCCGCCCGCCGCAAACACGTCCTTCCTCTATCACTCCCGGTTCAGCGCACAGCCCCCAAAGCCTCGCCCCGCCCCCTCCTCCTCCCAATCCCTCCCACCCTCCGGCAGATGCGCGCGTCAAAGAACCTGATCTGCTATTTTCTTGCCGTCACTTTGAGAATCCCACCACTGTTATCCAAAGTCATGGCGCAGCGCCTCGGGCCCGGGGATACAGAGACACTGATAGAAAGGCGTTACCCCGAGGGTCTCTCTGCCTTCCGCCTCGACCCGCCGCAAATCCGGACGCGGCGGGGGAGAACGCGCAGCGCAAACAGAGACCGATATTTGAACCTCTAATTCCCTGGGATGTTGTGACGCCGAGTAAACGCGAAGTTCTGATCCATAATAAAGCTTTGTTTACCCGTGCACCATGACGCACAGCTAATAAAAGAGAATGAAAAAAAAAACTACTGACTGAAACAACGAAAACAGCGTAACACGACCCGGAGTCATATTCCATCAAACAAGAGCAACGTGTCAAAAATAATCTGTGCAGGCGAGCCCCTCCTGCTCCTTCCCCCCGTGACCTCTCCCCCCGGGCCCAATCCCCGCCGCTAAACGATCCTTCCGGCATTCGGCTTGTATCCCCCCTGCCCTCCATCCCCCTCCTCGTCTCCCGCGCGCCTTCCTCTTGCGCAGGAAAAGTTGCAAACTAGTCCATCCCCGCTCCCGCTCCCCCCGCTGATACGTCCTGATATATCCACTCCCGGCCGCGTCATTCCACCACTGCCTTCTATTTCGGTTTGCCCGAGGGCTTGTCTGAATGCCCCCGCCCGCCCCGCCTCCCCCCCTCCAGGCCCACGCCGACGCCGTTTGGGCCATGCCTCCTGTCAGCTGCTAGAGCGGCCTGGCCAGGTGGCTCGTGTCCGGAGCGCCTGGCAAGGCAGGGGTAGGCAACACGGCGAACGCCGGCGCGCAACGGGTCTGCCCGCCCACCGTCTGCCGAGGCGAGATGTGGGATGTGGTGCTGCAGCGCGGCGCAGAACGGCGTAGGGCGTAGGCAGGCATCTGCCCTCTCACTCACTCACTCCACCGCCACCGCCAGGCTATACCCTCTCCCCATCTCTCTCGTAATGGCTCTATCCACAACGGCTCGGGGATGACTTTAGAATCTCCCCCACGGGCGGAGGAGAGGAGGAGGCGCCTCGGCTCACCACACCCACGCACGCACACTCCAGACATTGGTGTCGTTAAGGCTGTGTGTTTACCTGAAGGAGAGTAAGAGTGAGAGAGGGAGGCTGTATCCAAAAGACTGAGTTCTAAGACCAGGTATATTGTAATATTGTACTTGATCCTTGATTAAGTGCATATGACTGATATGACTTGATTCACTTGACACAACATCACCTGCGTACATAATTATGCACACAGTATCTGCTACATACATGTGGATTCAGGAGATAACGAATACATGTACACATTTGGGTTTCTAGAGTAACCATCACAGATAATTTTTCATAAAAACGTTTATAAATACGTTGCATTAAATCAAGAACTGCATCTGCAGTAGCCTTTTGGTTTAGATCCATTTTTTTTTATTTTTTACTTTTGAAAACCTAGAAAGGTAGAGACAGCGAGAGAGAAGAGAGACGTGATGTGGATGTGTGTGATGTGCTGTGGCAAGCTATATACCCGAGGGGGCGGGGACGGACGCTGACCACCCAAGTGCAAGAGTCCCAATTCCTCGTCCCGGCCGACTGGAGACGAGGCAGCAACGGGATCAACGAGTGCGTGGCATTGCGAGATTGCGTGCCGGCGGCATGTGTGCCCGGCCGAGTGTCCAGACTTTGCGGGCGGGTTCGCATCAGCAGGCTGGAGGCTAGAGGTCGGAGCGAGGGACTCCCCATCCTCGCTTCAGAGATGTATGGCAGACAAGACAAGGCATTCTGTTGAGATTCAATAATGAGGTCAGGAGGTCATACGCAACTCAATTAGGCCATCGTCGCGGGGTGCCCGCCCGAGTCCCCGCGCACTCTCAGCGCGTCACGATATTTCAGGCAACCATTAACCCCCCCCCCCCTTTTCCCGCCCCTCTCTCGTCCCGCCTCCCGCACAGCTCCAGGCGTTTAGCCCCCCAGCGTTACTCCTCCCATTATCATGGAAAACGTTATTGTTTGTTGTTATTACCGCGCTTTTCCCTTTTTTCCCCCGCTTCTCTTTTGAGCGACAACTGCAAATTAATGCGCCGCGTGTTTTACGGGAGTCTTCGAGGCAGCGGCTCCGCCATTAAAACGGAATAAAATTATGATCATTCTCTTCAGGGGGTGGGAAAAATGGAAGGTTGTAATAAAAATAAAAATACTTTAACATAAACAAGGTGGAGGCAAGGCTGCCCGGGCCTGGTTGCGGGAAGGGCCACGGGCGGCTATAGTCGCGCCCCGCTCCACACATCCATCTTGAGGCCGGCGGCGGGCCGCAGCATGGCCTGGCGGAGCGAGGCGGGGTGGGTCGGGGCGTGGCGGGGCG